ACTTGTTTCAATCTCTCATCACCAGATGTCTCATTTCTTCACCTTTCTCAATAATTTTCTACATTTATTATCTAGCCAAAATCCTCATCAGTTCCCATTAAAACCAACCATAAAATTCCCACGTGACCACATATTTTATTTCATTTCATTATCATATCCACTTCACAGTCGGTAAAACCTTTTCCCCTTAACCTCTTCAATTCATTTTTTCTTTTTACTTAAAATAATTTTAAATAAATAAAAAAAGAAAAAAATTACACGCGTCAATCAAAAGAGATTATAAAATGTGCAGAGACACACACTCTGCAAGTGTGCAAGAGCGAATCGCGGCACAAGTTGGACGAGGTAATGAGCCTGTTCGTTCCCAAAAGATTTGCAGCGCGCAGAACAGGGTTACGAGCGTGGAAAGCTCGACACGAACGTTGGCTGCCGTCTCATCGATCGTGGCAAATTGGATTGCCGCTAAAACGGCGGGGCTATCTTATGGCTTATAGGGATATAGTGTCCAGTGCCAGTGGGAACTGTGCAAAGTTCCAGTAACGAGAGTGAATTCTGACGTTCTACGCGTGCATCTTCGTCTGTGGGGGGAAACGCGATTATCGACCATCGGTATATGGCGCATGCAACCGGCCGTTTATCGTGATTAACGAAAGTCAACGTGGCCTAACGAGACCACGAACGACCGGCCTCGGTCACGTGCGCACGTGAATCACTTCTGCTTGCACACACACACACACACACAGCCGACTGAATTGTGAGAATGCGGCATTGTTAGAGTCGATGGAAGAGGAATGTAGGTGACTTGTGTAAACTTGGCCAGTTGCGAGGTGTAGAGCAAAGGCATTGATAACGTTCGAGGTCGGATGGAAAGGTTATGATGTAAGTAGGTAATTCAGCAGTTGGTATTTTCTTTTCTTGATTTTGATTTTTAATGGAATAGAGAATTTTTAATGGCGCAGAGTATTTAACTCGAATTAACTCAAATATTAATGTTTGTGATGGAACAACTATCGTGTAAATATGTTTTTAGATGTCTTTTTTAATTTTAGATGAGACGACAATGAGAAATAAGTTGAGTGTTAATGAACTAGAGTATTTTTTACTGGTATAATTTAAATTAATTCAAATATTGTTATATATAGTTTATAAATGGTGGTAGTTATAGATTTTTCAGGAATTGATTGTTGTCTTTGAGTGTTACAGTATAATTTAAATAAATGTCGTGTTGGTATCATTTTTATTAAAAAAGAATTTGCTCAAGTTAAGAATATATTTTTTTTTCTTCTGTGACAAATAAAAACTATTTTTCGTATTTTGAATCACACTTGAACGAGAATCACCGATTTATGATGGAAGTTAAAATGTATTTGGTGTACAACTTTAATCGAGATCTTGTCGTTTTCAGTGGATACATTTATCGATTAAGTGTATATTCGTGTTTACAAAAAAATAGATGACTATATTGACATTTGCACGTGCAATTAAGTTATATAATTATTAACATGTTTACTTGCTTGAATCTTTGGAGTTATTACTCATACATATTTATACTCTTAAGAAAAATATTAAAAATATTAAAATATTTATGTCTCATCCATACTTATGAATCATACACAGACATGAAATTCTTATTCATATTATTATTAGGGTGATTCAAATAAATTTTAAATTTATTCTAGAAACCCTAACAAACAATTGATATAATATTATATATATTATTCGCCATATTTCTCTTCATAAATATTTGACAATAGCACCTGTTCCTATTTTACATTTGGAAATTTCCAGGGCAGGCACAGTGGATAGATTAATTTAATTTTCACGTGAGTTGGTATAAAAATTTAAATAATATTATGTAAAACAAATTATTTTATATCAATTAACTCATCTTACGTAACATTATTGCATAAAGAAATATGAAAGAGAGGTTTGAAATAATAAATTATAGAAAATTCATTTGAAGCGTATTTTCCATAGAAACAAAAGTATTCAAACATATTTTTCGTGGAGAAAAAGAAAATAAAAAGGGCGGTTGCATTGGAATATTCTCGTGACAAAGTTGTGAAATGCAATGTT